GAAGTTCCGTTATATATTTTTACAAATAAATAAATAAATAAATAAAATATTATATTATATATTTTATATATCATATATAAACATATATATCCCATATTTATTTTATTTTATTTTACTTTATTTTATTTTATATTTTATTTTATTTTTTTTTATTTTGTTTTATTTTATTTTAATCTGGGTCTCCCATGTGCTCTGGGGGTTCCACAGCAGGGCTGGCTTTAGGGAGGGAGGGTTGCAGAGCTGCCTGGTGGGCATTTCCTCGTGCTCCCAGTGCTCCCCACGAGCCAGTTTGGGTCTCTGGGCACAGCAGGAAAACCAGGCTGTGGTATTCTCCCTCTGCCAGGGTGGCTGCACCATCCCTGGAGAGCAGAGGGTGATGTGAGGGGCACAGAGGGAGTAAATTGTCAGGGGGGAAGATGAACCACAGCCCAGCCAGAAAATTGAAATTTCAGCCCAGCTGAAATTTGCAGAAGCAGCAAAATTATCAGAGTTTACCAGTGGGAATTCAGGTGGGAAGGAGGGAAGGGGTGAATCACTGGTGTCCTCCACTAAAATGAAACAAAACCTCCTTCCCCACAAGGAGTTTGCTCTTCCCTGGTTCTGGCTGGCTCTCCACGAGGGTGATCTTCCCATCCTGCAGCCTCTTCCACGGAGGGCACAGGGACAAGGAGAGCAGCAGAAGTGACTCAGGGAGTATTTTAGAAGTGTGACCAAGTCTGGGTCCCTCCAGAGCTCCCTCATCTCTTCCCACAGGCTCCTCTGGGATGGGAGCAGCCTGGATGTGCCTGTTCTGGGAGCAGCTGCTCTGGGGATCACTCATGTCCCTAAATCCAGCTCTGGACATGCTCAAGTGGCCCCTGGAGCTGCCAGCTGGGCCACCAGGGTGAGTAAGCAGGACAGAAGCAGCGACGCCTCCACGAGACATTCCAGCCCCGTGACAGGAGCCTGTGATGTCCTCCCATCCCCTTTTCCCAGCTGGGGCACTGGAGTTGTGCAGCTCCTGCTCCTGCAGCAGGGTTCTTGTGGGGTTACAGAATCCTGGAATGGGTTGGGTTGGAAGGGACCTTCAATCCCATTCCACCATCCCAGGGTGCTCCAAGCCCTGTCCAACCTGGCCTTGGACACTTCCAAGGGCAGTCACAGCTTCTCTGGGCAATTTCTTCCCTCAAAACTCCCCAAATATTGATGAGCAGGTCCAGGAGAGAAGAAGCCAAAGCCAGGTCCTGCCCATCCCAACGTGTGTCTGAACGATGTGCAAATATTTGGGAAAAATGGACCAACCTGGCCCTAAATCATCCCTTGGGAGAAAACCCTGCAGCTTTTTGGGCTTTTTGCCACCTCCCTGAGGCTGCCCTGCATCCCTAAGGCTGGTGGCAGCTTTTTTACCCATTCTAACACCCTGCAAAACCCGGCCCTTGGAGGTTGAGAAATAAAGCTGCTCACAGATATCCAATGCCAGGAGCATTCCCAGGGCTGGGAATAACCATCAGCCAGCCCAGAACCTTTGGATCAGTGGCATTAAAAGCTGCTGGCATCAGAGCAAGCAGTGGTGCTTGCAATTTCCCAACTTCTCTGGGCAACTTCTCCCCTCCAAAATTCCCTCAAAACTCCTCAGATATTGATGAGCAGACCTAGGAAAGAAGAAAACCCTGCAGCTTTTTGGGCTTTTTGCCACCTCCCTGAGGCTGCCCTGCATCCCTAAGGCTGGTGGCAGCTTTTTTACCCATTCTAACACCCTGCAAAACCCGGCCCTTGGAGGTTGAGAAATAAAGCTGCTCACAGATATCCAATGCCAGGAGCATTCCCAGGGCTGGGAATAACCATCAGCCAGCCCAGAACCTTTGGATCAGTGGCATTAAAAGCTGCTGGCATCAGAGCAAGCAGTGGTGCTTGCAATTTCCCAACTTCTCTGGGCAACTTCTCCCCTCCAAAATTCCCTCAAAACTCCTCAGATATTGATGAGCAGACCTAGGAAAGAAGCCAAAGCCAGGTCCTGCCCATCCCAACGTGTGTCTGAACGATGTGCAAATATTTGGGGAAAAGGGTCCAACCTGGCCCTAAATCAACCCTTGGGGAAAGCCCTGCAGCTTTTTGGGCAGCCAAACTCCAGCAGTGCCACCTCCCTGAGGCTGCCCTGCATCCCTAAGGCCGGTTTTGTCTTTTTTACCCATCCTAATGCCCCACAAAACCCGGCCCTTGGAGGTTGAGAAATAAAGCTGCTCACAGATATCCAATGCCAGGAGCATTCCCAGGGCTGGGAATAACCATCAGCCAGCCCAGAACCTTTGGATCAGCCTCATTAAAAGCTGCTGGTGTCAGAGAGAGGGAAGGCAGCCCATGCCGGGCTGTGTCTGTGTGTCTGTCCGCCCCTGACAAAGTGGATTATCTCCATCCTCCTCCTCCTCCCCGAGCCGGCGGCAGCTGCAGAGCAAAGAGGGGGGGAAAAAAAAGGGAGAGTGGCTGAATTTGTACCTCCAGGTAAAGCTGCCTGCTGCTTCCTGCAGGGAGGGGCAGAGGCTTTGGGAGATGTTTGAGCTCTCCCCAGGAACAAAGGGAGGGGAGATTAGCTGGAAGGGATGTGTGTCCTGCCCCGTCCGTCCTCCCCTTTGGCTGTGAGTGTGTGTGAGTGTGTGAGTGTGTGTGTTCCAGTCTGCAGCGTGAGCAATTCCACTTGAAAAGACAGAGAAATCCCCTCCTTTGAAAGTCGCGGTGTTTGGTTCTTTCCAGTAATGCTATAATTGGATGGGATTTTCTCTAATACACAGGGAAAGTCCTTAAGATGATTTTTCACACACCACCACCCCTCCTCCTTTTCCCTCATCCCACCTTATGCAATAAAATTCCCTCCTCCAACCCCTTGGGCTCCTCCGGGGGGGGAAGCAAGAGAGGATTTACCTGGTCGGGTTGAGTTCACTTCATTTGACTTTTTTTTTTTTAAATTATTGTTATTATTATTATTATTATTAAAATAATCATCCTGGAGCAGGGGGGATGGATTTAATACCCTGGCTATAATTGCAGCATCAACACGGCGGGGATTTGCTGGGAGAGCCTCGCGGAGCATCCGTTCCCCCTCTGGAAGCCGCTGGGATCGGCTCCGCGCAGCGATTAAATCTCGGAGCACTTGCCAGAGCTCACATTTGCAATCGCTTGTCATCCAAGCCGAAAGAAAATAATCAGGGCCCGACCCCTGCCAAATTCCCGATGATTTAAATATCCCCGAATGAACTGCATTTCTAGTATAATTTCACTAGAATGAATATATCTCTCCATCTAGCTCCACACAAACATATCTTTATATATATGCATGTAAAGCCCTGTGTGTGTAAATAGAAATATTCCCTACTAAGGGAAAATATAAATGCGGCTCTTAATGAGGATGAAAGCGCATTTTGATTTGAGCTAATGCGGGGTTGCAAGGCTTCCCCCAACAAAGTCATTAAAAACTGTACCTCTCTTTGTTCCCTGCGAGCCACAGAAATTTTCTGATTCACAGATAAAATAAAAGCAAGTCGGAGAAATAAATAAAATCTCCTGCAGCCCGCTGAATCCTTAAAATAATAACAAACAAAAAAAAGTGACAAAACCCAGAAAAAAAAAAAAAACAGGCAGCAAGCAAAAAAAAAAAAAAAAAAAATATATATATATAAAACTATGGAAAAGAGGATCGTTGTTATTGCAGGGAGAAAATATCTCCAGGCTCAGGCGATGCCTCCATCCCCTCTTTTTGCCTCTCCAGCCCCTTTCAAATGAGCCAGGGGAAGGGGACGCCTGTCAGCTGTGGGTGACACTTGCTCCCAGCCCCAGCCAGCTTTAACCAATATGTTCCAGAGGAGCAGCAAATCCCTCCACGGACCGGGAATCGAGGAGCTACATCTTCATAATAATATTAATATGACCCCCCTCCCCCCTTTTGGTTTTTTTTTTTTTTTTTCTTTCTGCCCCACGGGGGAAAAAAAAAAAAATCCGAATTTTTGGGACGGCAGAAATCACCCCCCACCACCGGCGCTGAAAAGAGAGAAATTGAGACAATGTGTCGAGAGAGAAATTAAAAAAGAGCTCAATTACTGGTGCCCTGTGGGGTGGATCTGGTGGATGAAGTCGTTGCAGCGGCGCCTTCCCAATGTCCGGGGCTGGGATTCCTGGAAATTGGGATGAGCTGAAGGAGCCCTTTGGAGATTTGCATGGAAGAAGTCGGTTTTTTAGCAGATGTCTTCAGTGGAGCTCTTGGATCTGCGGCTGCTTGGACTGGTGGGGAAAGGGGGTCTGCGTGCCTGGGTGGAAATCCTCTTTTTTTTCCATGAAAAAAAGCCCCCAAAAAGAGAGCAACCGAAAGTTTTTAGAAAGTTGGTTGAAATGCATCCCAACCGTCCCCGTGAGGAAATGGGGCTTTGAGGAGAAGACAGAATGGCAAGAAGGAGAAAATTGAGAAAATAATAATTTTTAAAAGAAGGGGGGGGGAAAAAAACTTTTCACACTTTTTTTTTTTTTTTTTTTTTTTTTTTTTTTTTTTTTTTTTTGCATTTTAGTAGCTTCGACCCAGGGAGTGAAATCCGGGCAGGTTGTTATAGCTACCCAAATCCACAGGGGTCCCCCCTGTCTATTTAAACCCCCTAAATCTTCCTTCCCCTTTTTAAAACTACATTTTATCCCTTGGCTTGTGGGCCAACGTGCCCCCTAATGAGTATTAAAACACTATCTCCTTGCAATTAGCTCATTCCTGACTTCACGCTCCTGATTGACAGAACAAGCCAAAGCATCAGAATTCTCCCTTTGGCAATAAGTGCTGATTGGGTCCTTTTTAAGAGAGCTACTTCAAACTTTTTTTTTTTCTTTTTTTTTTTTTTTTTTTTTTTTTTTTAATATTTGCCTTCAGTGTCTTGGCTGAGAGAAGAGTTTTTTACCTCTCTGAGATTTTTTTTTTCCTTGAGAGTAGTAGAGGAAGCAAGAGAGGATTTATTTGGTCGGGTTGAGTTCCCTTTATTTGACTTTTTTGTTTTTAAATTATTGTTATTATTATTATTATTATTAAAATAATCATCCTGCCTCAGAAGAAAGGAAGTTTTTTGGCAACTCTGGTTAAAAAAAAAAAAAAAAAGAAAGACAACTTTTCATCAATGGCCTCTTTTGGATATTTCCTGTTTCTTTGTGGGTTGAGTCAGGCTCTGTCAAGTTACCCAATCTGGTGGTAAGTTTTATTCTTCTTCTTTTTTTTTTTTTTTTCGCTCATTTTCATTTATTTTTCCCCTCCTCTGCTTTCTCTGCAACCCCTGCGCTTAAGATGACTTGAAATTCTCCTTTCGTTGCCACTCAGCTAAAGAGGTGGGATTGTTCCAGCGCCAGCAAGTTCTTAGAACCTGCATTTCACCTCTTTTATTTATGCATTCACTTTGTTTATTTTGACTGGGTTATACCTGATCTCTCCTTCTCCTACTGTAAAAGAGAGAGAGCGAGAGGGAGCGATCGGAAAGTTATTTTTTTTTTTTTTCCTCTGAGCGCTTTGATCCTCTCCTGTGAAGAACAAAAGGCGCTGCCTGAATTAAAGAGATAATGATACTAGTTGACATGAGCATTTCAAGGTGATTTCGAGCTAGTCAGGTGGAAGCGAGGGGGGCAAAGGAGCAAAACTTTTGGGTGGCTTTTATTCCCCCCCCCCCTTTTCGCTTTAAGAAATATTGAGGGGTAAATTAAAAATAATAATAATAATAATAATATAGGGGTGGAAATGGGAAGGAAAAGGAGTGGAGCTGCACAAGCTGGGCTGTGGGAAGGCAGAGCAGAGCCGGGGATGGGCGAGAGGTTCCCGGCGCAAAATCCGCGCTCCTTGCGCGGGGATGCGGCACTTTTTTCGGGGGGGGATTTCGCCGCTTTTTCCTCCTTTTCCGCGCTTGGCACCCTACGCCTTTAAGAGCCTTTTCTCGCTCGCTCCCCCACGAAAAGCAAATGGTGCTGGGCAAGGCATGTAAGTGCACGATCTGCTCTAATTACCCCGCGGAGCTAATTGGGCTCGGGGAAGCCCTAGCGCAGGGAGGCTCCGCGGGCTGAGCCGGGGGGCTCCGCGCTGCCGACAGCTCCCAAACGCCCCCCTTTAAAAAAAAAAAAAAATAATCAACGGGGGTCCTTCAAAAAACGCCCCCGATCATCGCCGTGCTGCTAATTAATTTTGAAATTAATCCTTGCTCCCCCCCCCCTCCCTCCCTCCCGCGGGTGCGGGATGCGCGGTCCCCCCTGTCCGGCGGTGCAGAGGTGAGGGTGTTGAAGGCAGCAGCCTCTCCAACTATTTCAGGTATGTCTGAAAGCAGGGAATTCGTTGGGATGGGAGGGAGAAAGAAAAAAGAAAAAAAAAAAGCCATAAAATGCAAATGTGTTCTTGGGAAGACAGGCAGCGAGAGCACCTGGACGGGAGTCATTAAAAAGCAATCTTTTATTCCCAGCCACCATCTAACTTATAATTAGAAACTCTGCTCGCATTCCTGATTGGAGAAGGAAACGCATTCCTCTAATACCGACATAAATATTCGCTTGTCACCCGGCGAGGGGAGCGCGGTCCCGGCCCCCCTGTCTGTCCCCCCTGTCCCTCCTGTCCCCGGAGCTGTGGAAAAGTGGGAAAAGATGGGAAAAAGGCGCTGGGAAGGGGGGCAGGGGGTCCCGTCCCGAGCCGGGGCATCCTCAGGTGTGCGCGGGGGGCGACACTGCGGGCTTTGGGGTGGCTTTGTCCCGTCCTTCCCCGGTGCCAAGCAGCGCTTCCAGACGCTCCTTTCGCCAGGAGAAACCCCCCCTTAGGCCATGGAAATGCAAAGGAGGCTTGGATTGGGCTGGGGGAGTCGCGGGAGAGACCGGGAGCTGTTGCATTGGCTGCCGAAATTCCCCCCTCGCCCTCCCGTCCCTTCCCCTCTTTATTCCTCCTCAACCTTTCCCCTCTTTATATATTTAATTTCTCGTTTATTTATTTATTCCCCTAGCGAGATATGAACGCACCCCCGTGGCTGGGGATGGGGGGCAGCCCTGGGGATGTGGGAATTGGGGTCTGCCCTGGGCTCCCCGGGATGCGCATCCCGAGCAGGGCAGGGAAGTTCCGTCGCTCCTAGGCCAGCCCAGCTGGTCCCAAAATCCACCCCGCTGCTTGATTTGATTTTCGTTTCGTTTTGTTCCGCTCTTCCTTTTGTTTTGTTGTTGTTGTTGTTTTACTCTTTATTTACTTTTTTTTGGAAGAGAGAACCAGGAATTTTTTTATTCTGGTCACGCAAGCAGCAAAGATCCCATCCCCAGCATCTCCCCTCTGTCAGCTCACGGTGTTTTGGGTGTTTAGAGCAGAAAATCTGTCATTCACCAACCCCAAATTGTGCCCCCTCCTCTCTAATCGTCTCTAATTAAAGCATCAGCTCATCCTAAAGCACACGGGGCTGTGGATGCTTACACTCTGAGAAAATCCCTGCAAAAGGCAGGCACTGAGAAATTATATTTTCCTGTGAGTTTTGTTTAATTGTTGCCCCAAAATCGGGGGAAATGTCAATTTCTCAGGGGGATCAGGTGTTGTGAGTTCTGTCCCCCTCTCACAGCTCCTTTTTAGGCTGAGCTGTTCAAATTGCTGCTCCCACCGTGGCACGGGGCACCTGTTTGAACCAGACCAAGCAGATTCCCACATTCCTGGGAGCTTCAGTGGAGGGAAAAGGAAAAAATCCCTCTGTGATGATGCTGGGGGTGGGAGGGGAGGCTCTGTGATTTCCTTAAAACCTTAAAAATAAAATAAAATAAAAAAAAACCCAGCAAATAATTCATTTACAAACTGGGATAAAAGATGTTTTGGAAATAATGGTTTAAAAATAATCCAAGATTGCTGTTGGGATTGATGAGCCAGGTTTTGGGGATGCACTGGAGGGGTTTATTGTGCCTCAGGAGCCCCACGGGACCTTCTCCAGAGCAGTGCAGCACTGAGCTCTTCAACCTAGAGCAGCTCCTGGGAGCAGCAACAGGCTCTTCCACACCCAGGGGGCCAGATTAACTGCAAAAAATCAGATAGTTTTCGGGTTTTGCTGCTTTTTTTTTTTTTTTTAATGTTGGTGCTGTTCATTTTTTGGTTTGTTAAAAAAACATCATTAAAAAAAAAAAATTTTGGAATGAGTGAAGGGAGGCAGAGGGAATTCCAAAGCAAAATTCATGGGTAAGGGAGGATTAAATGTAACCTGTTCCCTGTCCTGGGGGAGTCTGGGGTCCGTGGGGAGTCACAGAAGCAGCATAAAGAGAATTTAAACTTTTTCCAGCTAGCTTGCACTGCCTTGACTGACTCCTCATAGAATGCGGGGGGGGAGACAAAAACACCTTTTAATTTTATTTATTTTATTTTTCAATCCGTGCTAAGTGGCCTGACTTGGTCTGAACACAGCCAGTGGGGCAGAAATTATTCAGAAGGGAGGAAAAAATAAGTAAATAAAAATTAACACAGAACTTCCATGCTGGGAATCTTATCCTCCTGCAGCCCAGGATGCTGCTCCTGAGGGAGGTGATCCCAGGAGAGGCTCTCTGGGCTGAACTGGAAGTACAGGGAGACCCCTTTGCTGTAGGAAGAAATAACTGGCATCATTTCTCCTGGGTGTGAGGCAGCTTGGGGATGTGTGTGGTTAAATTCTGTGCCTGGAGAGGGATGGCAGGAGGAGTTGTCATGGAGCAGGAGGCTGGGATTTGGTGTGGTGGCATGGCCTTGGGCAGCAGGGACTGTCCCTTCCTCTGCCCTGCTGGGGCTCCTGCCCCTCTGTGTCACACCCAGGGTGGGGTGGGATGGGACCAGTGAAAAGCTGGGAAATATCAGGGTGAGGAGATGCCAGGCCGTGGGAAGAGGGTGTGGAGTTTGGGGGATGTGTGTGGAGATGTTTCCCTGCTGTGGCCTGGCTTTGCTCTATTCCCCAGCAGCTCCATGGCTTTCCTCATCCCTGCAGAGTGTGGTGTCCTGCAGGATCCTCTTTCTGTGAGGGCTGGGGAGAGGGATCCAGCAGCTCTTTCCTCTGTGTTTTTTGCAATTCAGGAAATGTGAGCTCGAGGGAGCCCTGCCAGCAGCAGGGACATCACTCCAGCAGTGCCCAGACGCCACACCTGAGCCTGTCCCTGCTCTGTGGTGTGGAAGAAACACCTGAGTGTGAACATGAAATACTGCCTCAAGTGCCTTCAGTGCAGACCCAGGGAAACCAACAACTGGAACCACCACACTGTGGCATCCCCACAGCAGGAGCAGGGCAGGGATGAGCTCCTGCCTGGTGCTCTCTGTTCTTTCCTGGGATCTGTCCCCCTCAACAGCCCCCATTTCACAGTGAGAGAAACCCAGGCCAGGCTCTGGCTGCTGGGAGAAACCCAATCCTCTGCAAACCCCGCAGGACCAGCGCCAGCCTGGCAGGCTGCGAGCAAAGCTTGCCTTGGGGTGATCATCCCCGTGTGCCAGGAGGGAGGCAGAGCCCTGAGGTCACCTGAGGGCCAGCCCAGCCAGGTGCTGGCACCAGGGCTCCTGCAGCAATCTCTAGAGCTCCGAGGTATGAATTGCATCTCCCCACTTCTCTGCTCGATTGGCCGGGGTGAGGAGCTGGAATTCATCTGTGTCTCCTCCCCTCCTGCAGCAGGTTGTGGTGAGATGTTCAAATCCAGCAGGGTCTGTGGGAATTCTGGATGAGTTAGAGACAGGACCTCTCAGTTGTTTTTGATGATGGGATTTATTTTTCTTAGCTTCTACACAGGCAGGAAGGGTGAGCTCCGCTCACATCTTCACTGCATGGCTCACAAGGTCACAAGACCCTTAGTTACAAGGCCTTTCAAGGATTTATTGACCAATAAAACATTGCTAACAAGGATATTTATGCTTTTGACCCAATCTTTAAATATTCAATTATATTATTTCTTATGGGTCTTATGGACCCATGCTACAGTGTAAGCTTTCTTAGCCAATCATGTTATGGCACACAAACCTACAAAAACTTCTCGTTACCTTTGTAACTACATTTATTTTTTTCTGTATCTTAAACTCTAAAGCTCTAAATTTCCTTCTACTCAGCTTAACATGTCTCTGCTTTAAACTCTAAATCCACGTTCTCACTTCTAGCACCTCAGTTTGGGAGCCTTTTCCAAGGTCTCAGATCAAATCCTGGGTTTAATTCTAGGCTTTGGCTTACAGCCCCAAAGTTCTGAGAGTTCCCTGCATTTTGGATT